AAAAAAAAAAAAAAAAAGTTAAGCCCTTAGGGCAGCAACAGGGACACAGAGCATTTTTCCTATAAACGGCTCTGTCCAGTGAATGTGAAATGCTTCCATACTAATACAAAGGAGAAAAATAAATAAAACAAGTAGATTTCTCCCGCCTTCCATCATCCCCTCCCTGCCAATAAACTCCTCTTATTTTATAAAATGCCAACAGGTAAACAGTTCCCACATTGGTACTTCCATTAATCACAAGAGGAATATTACCATTTATTTGGCACCACTGAGTTCAGAACATCCTTAAAGCTGTGTGAAAGTGACAAAAGGAACATGAGACCACAGTCATTTCCTCAGGAAAATGAGTTCCGGACAGAGAGGGTGGAAAATCATGAGGGCATTCATCAGCCTCCCACACCTTGCTGCTCAAGTTTCTGGAGCTGTTTTTCAAGTTTTGAGACGTCTACTCGATGCATCATCAGAAACTGGCCATTCAAATGAAAGACGGGGATGTCAAATTTATACCTGTCATACCAAGCAGAGTTTTCTGGAAGTGTGATGTCCACCTCCTGTAAAATAAACTGAAACAGAGACAGAGTAAAGCTCTAGATTTCAGAGAACACGGAACAATGCAACGGCTGTAGTGACAAACTGATCCCTAAACTTGTTTCTAATGCTGAGAGGTTTTTACTGTTGTTGTTTGAGGTCCACAGTCAGCTAATGACCCTGAATTCCATAACCTGATTGATTTCTTTACATTCCCTAAATTTGCTACTTTTCTGTTACATCTGTTAGGTTCAGCATCCACTTACTACTCAGTTCCCAATGAAATAAACAATGTCCCAACTGGGAAGCTGCCTGAGAATCAAGAAAGACATGTTTTGGCTGTAAGATTGGGAAAGGTGTCATGGTTTGATACAGGAAAACACTCTCATGGAAATGACAACATAAGATAAAAGGAATAGGGACAAAAACTTAACAGAAGGCCCAAATGCTGTACCTGCTAGTTAACTTTGACTCATTTTAAGAGTCAGAGTAAGAAAATCAGTACTGCTCAGAGAAAAACACTTAGGTGTAATGACTTTTATGGAAATCAGCACTAAAATCTCTCTCAAGAAAATTTAAATGAAAAAATCATTCAATCTCTTTTCTTACAGAAAGGATCCAGGCAGATACCTCATACTACATACAGTATCTATTCCATATACATAAAGCCACATTGTATTATATTACCCTGTTTTTATAAGGCTCCAGTACTTCCTTGGCTTCATCACAAAGGGGGCACAGATCCTACAGGACGAAAAAAGCCATTAAACCCAAAGAATGGCATTCAGCCTGACAAAAACCACAAGCAGATTATACTTATTTTAAAGAACAGTTTTCTACCAGGTTATACTCTTTTATTTTCCAAAGCAAAACACTACCACAGAATCTTATAAATAGCTAGTGTTTCATGGTAAATGGGCTTTCAGCATTTTTTAGTTGTATTTCGATTTTTCTTGACAAATAAATCTATCTAGTAAATGTTGATGCTTATATTTGTTACATATATATGTGTGTATATATGTGTATATAGATGTACACACATTTAGATGCTTACTTTTTTTGTTACTGGCTTCATCTAATTGATATCTAGGAAGATTATTTTCCATATCATTTATAGTCCTAGGGCTTTGTCCTTCCTAGGTCAGGAGCACCTTCCAGGCCTGGCTGACATCACCAGAATGTCTTAAAGTCTGTTTTTATTGGGGGGCACTGAGATTTGCCAGCCTGTTTTTTGTTTTTATTTCTTTTTGGCCGCGCCGTGCGGCTTGCAGGATCTTAGTTCGCCGACCAGGGATTGAACCTGGGCCCATGGCAGTGAAAGTGCGAAGTCCTAACCACTGGACTGCCAGGGGATTCCCAAGCCTGTTTTTCCTAATAACCCATTGGGATGGAGTTAGATAGTGATCGTCCCATTTTTAAAAGGGAAAAATCTCTTTACTTTGGGCGATGATTGTACCAACTCTTCAATGTTTTGTCAGTTTTTTCATTACAAGTGTCAGCAATAGGTTTCCCAGACTAACTCTCCACCTTAGGAGCAAGCGAGTTTTAGTGCCTATTGTTGTCTGCACCCTAACCATCTAGAGGAGAAGTCTGCCGAGAATGCTGTGGATCATTGGCAGATTTTAAAGGCTTCTCAGGCCTTGACTCAATGAACAGGTACTACTATAGGTTCTCTTGTATGAGCTAAAAATAGATTCAACATTACTGATGCTTATATAAAACCTGCTTTTTAACATGACAGGAAAAGATGAGCTGTTATGGAGGCCCTTCCTCCAGCTTAACTCACCTTATTTTGAAATAAGAACCTGGATCATCAAAAGACAGTTTTCCTTCAGAAAGATCCTTCTGGCCGTATTTTCCTGCTTCAGGGCTCATTATGTTATTTTAGCATTATCAATAAATAGATTATGGATAGTCTGTGACTTTTAAAAAAATTATTTATTTTTGGCTGTGTTGGGTCTTTGTTGCTGCAGTGGGCTTTTTCTGGTTGCAGCAAGCGGGGGCTACTCTTCGTTGCAGTGCACGGGCTTCTCATTGTGGTGGCTCCTCTTGTTGCGGAGCACAGGCTCTAGGCACGTGGGCTTCAGTAGTTGTGGTGCGTGGGCTCAGTAGTTGTGGCACACGGGCTTAGTTGCTCTATGGCATGTGGGATCTTCCCGGACCAGGGCTCCAACCCATGTCGCCTTGCATTGGCAGGCAGATTCTTAGCCACTGAGCCACCAGGGAAGCCTAGTCTGTGATTTTTAAGATAACCACATTAAAATTCTCTGAGAAAGTTTCAGAAAGTCAAGAGAGGATCTTAAGAGCAAAAGCAAAACAAGAACCAGTGCAATTGCAGAAGTACCAAATTTGGTACTATTTGCTTTTATAATAAAAAAACTTTAGTAGAGCTAGGATCAGGTTTTTTATTTTGTTTTTTTTAAAACACAGAGAATGGGAATTCCCTGGTGGTCCAGTGGTTAAGACTCCACGCTTTCACTGCTGTGAGCCTGGGTTCCAACCCTCGTTGGGGAACTAAGATCCCACAAGCTGTGCAGTGCAGCCAGAAACAAAACAAAACAACCAACCCAGGGACTATGGAAGTCTGGGCAAATTATCACATGTGTATGTATTTTTATGAGGAAAGGTCATCAAATTTTAAAGAAATCTATGAGCTGAAAAATGACAAGACCCAGTGGTCTGGAACATTTGTACATCCTTGTCTAGGATTTTCAGTGGTGCCAATACAGCACTTATTTACCCTATCCCTGAATTGTAGTGAACATTTGGTGGGTTGGCTGTCTACCACCCACTCCCCTTTCTTGTAGCAAGAATGCTGGGATTTTGCCTCACAGAACTGCTCTCAGCATGTGGCTGACTCCTCCCTGAACGGGGGTGGAACACCTGATTTAGGCTGAGGCATCCAGCATATCGTAGCCCTTCGACTACAAATGGCTCAGGGATAGGCCAATCAGAGCCAAAGGATAGTGTGAGGGTTTTGCTGGAGTTTCTGTAGATACCTGAAATGTGAGATCTGAGGCTTGGGATCGCTGCAGTTATCCATATGAAGAGCCAGAGTGTGAACTGATTTAACCTAGAGAATGCAGTGCTGAAGAGACTGGTAATGTGCTTACATTTCAGAATCAAGCTACTCCTGAAACCAGACTAACCCATAAAATCCTTTTTTTGTTTAAGCCACTCTGGGTAGTACTTTCTGTTATTTATAACTGAAAGAGACCTGATACTGTACTTTTTCTTTCAGAGGACTGTGAACTCTGGGAGGTGAGGATAATGTCTTATTATATGTCTAATGACACAAATGAAGGGTTTGGTACAAATTTTAAGCTGAATGGAAGATTAGTGTGTTTTGCTTTGGCACATGTTTTTGGCTAACTTGGCTGTTGTTCAAGCTGAAAAATAGTGCAGAATAGTTAGGCTGAGTGAGCACCATTAGCCTTAAGGGATTATTTTATTTTTGTGGTTAATTTTCACACACATTTCTCATATGTAGACACAAATGATGAAATATCTTTTTCCATAATAATGCAATGTATACTTATGAATATGAAAAGTAAAGATTAACTACTTTCAATAAAATTTTAAAAGACTTAAACTTTGTTATAACTGTCAGATATATTCAAATTGCAAAAATGCCTGAAATCTGAAAAAAATCTATCAAACAAGAGACCTGTTTTGTTTGAATTGCAGTATTATTCACTAAAGGTAATTCTATTACCCTGCACTTTATTTCTTTTTTGATTACAAATCACACAAAGTAATGTTAACTAGCAAAAGGAAATCCATGTTTGTCTTATCAATTTTAGAGGAAAAAGCTCTTAAAAATTTAAACTTGCTTTATAGCTTAAAACCAGTGTTAGGGATAAGAAAATAAGTACAGTGAGTCCCATTATTTGTGGATTCTGTATTTGCGAATTCATCTATTAGCTAAAACTTATTTGTCACCCTAAAATCAATACCCAAGTTTTTATAGTCATTCACAGACATGCAGGTGCACAGAGCAGCGAAAAATTTGAGTTGCTCAAAGTGCACATTTCTGGCTGAGGTGGGGCAGGATGATGCTCTGCCTTCTTGTTCCAGCTCTCATACTGTAAACAAGTGTCCTATTCTACTTAGTGCCACTCTTTTTGCATTTTTGTGCTTTTTCTTGGTTATTTTGCGATTTAAAATGGCCCAAGCATAGTGCTGAAGTGCTGTCCAGTGTTTCTAAGTATAAGAAGGCTGTGCGGTGCCTTACGGAGAAAATGCTGTGTTAGATAAGCTTTGTTCAGGCATAAGTTACAGTGCTGTTGGCCCTGAGCTCAGTGTTAATGAATCAACAATATATGTTAAATAAGGTGCCTTTAAACAGAAACACACATAAAACAAGGTTATGTATTGATCAGTTCAAAAATGTTGTGACCAGAAGCTCATAGGAACCTAACCCTATATTTGCCCTAGGAGCAGTGGTTCAGTACTTGCTAATTCAGTGTTCGTGGTGACTTTATAGAACATGACTATCACAAATAATAAGAGTTGACTATATTTCTAAGTGATACACTTGTAAACATCTGATAGTTCTTTTCTTTCAATGTATGGATCAGATGACAATTAAATATATTAATTTACCTCCTGATAACAGTGACACAATGAAGTATCTGGGTAGGATAAAGAGTTACCACTGTTGTAACTGGAACTGAAAAATTGAGGAGCATGTCTGAAGAAAATTTATACCATTGCTTTCCTTTCAACATTTTTCCCCCTTCTTAAATGTACAACTTTCTTCACCCAACATTTTAATCCTTTATGTTTTTAAAGTAGTGATTTTACTTTTTACTCTGTACCTTTGTGAATAAGGTTAGCACAGGCAGAGCAGTCTTAGAGGCAGATAGATTTCTCAAGAGCAGCTGAAAGGAGTGTTTGGCAGGTTGCATGCTATATCCTTGAAACCAGAGCATCTTAATTCTGCCAAAAGAAAAAGAGACAGTAAACTTATGTGCCCTAGACTTTGCTCTTTATAACAGAAACAGTAAGCTGCAAATCTATGATGGAATTTGAAGACTTCAGATGTGCTTCTTGGAGTCCAGGAGTGTCAGAGAGGCCAAGATGTTTGGCAAGTCTTCATGATGCCTCAATATTCAGTGTATTCCAAATTTAGAATTTAGAATGGGAAAAAAATCCAAATGTATGGATTAGTTGTGTGTCTAATCACTTGGTTTCCGTAAGCAAATTCCATGGGTTTGTTAATTAGAATAAAAAATTAAATTTCACCTGCAGATTTTGCTAGCATCCTGATGATCCCCTAAAATGTGGGAAGTTTCCTGAAATGGTTTTTATTCGCAGAGATAGCTTATCTTATAGGTAAGCATTCAACAATGCCCAGCCACCTTCATGGTAAAGGAGATAGTAAGCAAGAAGCACAAGTCTGCAGCTGAAGGTTAAGGCTATTACTTATGAGATTTATGCCCCTCTGCTGCAAGAGGTGGGGAAACACAGAGCTGTCCTTAGAGGAACTTATAGGGGAGGTTAGGCTGAGTCAACCTGTCAAAAACAAAAATCTACTCAGCTCTTCTAAGAAGTATTTTAAAAGGAGATGGTCATCATTTCTTAAAACATCCACAAATGTACTAGTGTTTCTACTGGAGATATTCCAATAAGAACAGCTTGGTAATAGCAGCATGTCAAACACTAGGCTTTGAAGCTCTCTCATCCTGCTACTTTGCTTGACATAAGACACCCTACTTATTCCTAGTTATTCTACTAAGCCTCCAGCTTTCTCCTTTAAACTACAGATACGATGATTTCACTTTTAAAACACATATGCACTGATGACTTTATCACTTATCAATATTTCTTGCATGAATTCATTCCTGGTATCTTCATTTCTTAACTTCTCTTTACTCTATCTCTCCAACTTCATCTATCAGTTTCCCCTCCCTTATCTTGGCAACTTGCAGCCCAAAGATTCTCTTTCTGTTCCTTGAATAACCAAAGATCATTTCTTCATCAGGATTTCTGTACTTGCTGTTCCTCTGCATGAAAAACTCTTAAGTAGCTTCTCATCTGGCCTGGGCTTATGTCACCTCCTTAGAGATGCCTTAGTGACTACCTAACCAATGTGGGCCAGTCCACCACTTTTCTTCCTCATATCTTGCTGCGGTTTTCTTTTATCCTTCACTATCTAAAATTATTTCTTTACCTATATGTCCCCTCTACTACAACATGAGTTCCATAGGAGCAGATACTTGTTCACCCCAATATTCCCGAGCATCTACAATTAACCTGGTATATAGTAGGTGTTCAAATAGTTGTTCGAATGTTAATAGTACTGGAGTGAGCCTTCCCCCTCCCCCCGCCCCTTTAGTCTCACCTCTAACTCTGATGAGACACTTACTGTGCACAGCAGTCACTATGTGGGCGGATCTCATATCCTAACTAAAGGTCAGTGCTCCTCACGGTGTCCACAAGATGCAGGCCAGGGCGCTGCAGCTGGTCCCAGCCCCTTCACCACCACCTTGAATCTCCTCCTGCTCTGCTCCAGAGAGCATGCCTGTAATAATTATGTACTAATCTCTACTGGTGACCAGGCTTCTCAGCATAAGATTAGCTTTAAACTCATTTTAAACAGAATGATATGACTTTAGAGAAAAGCACTAAATCCATATCAAACCAGAGTAAAGAAGACGGGACAAAAGGATTGGATTCTGATCTGTGAAAACAATAATCTGTCCTTCTCTCTTAAATCCTTAGTCTTCCACTTCTCCCTGGATCTCCCTGCTAACTAAATGGTCCTGATAATGCATAAAAAAGGAATGTGATAAGGATTTTATAAGGACCCAGCATTATTCTAAGGAGGAAAATGGATCTAAACAATTTCACAATATGCTGTGCTGCTTTCAACTAAGTGATAAGCCCGGGTATATATATGTTCCATAAATTCAGCAGAACCAACACTCCAATAGGTGAATGTGGTTGGAGACAATAGCTTCCAAACATGGTTCTGTCTACAGAGGATATAAAGGAAGGGGAAGTATCAATGGAATGCTAGCCATGTTTACGACACGTAGAAATTTCTGCATCGTTGGTTTTGGCAAGGCCTTACGCCAACAGTGGCACACCCTCCTAGGGTATGAAGTTAAAGAAACTGTACTAAATGAAGGAGAAAGAAAATTTTAAAAATCAGTTTTGTGAGAGTAAAGGTAGAAAGATAGCTCTTGGAAGTGAGAAGGAGCAGGCTATCTAAGGCAGTGACCTAAGGTTACAACCAGGACAGTGAACGGCAGCCGTGTGCTTTTGGTGGAGGGATTTAAGATTTATTGATGTCAGGCTGGTAAGGAATGGAAAACTTACTGCTTTCACCTAACTGAGTTGAGACTGAGGTGTTAAGGCTTTTGTTAAAAAAAAAAAAAAATTCACATTCACAATGGAAATCTGCTTCAGTATTTCCAACATGACAAAACACAGCATGTGGTCTTGGTTGCACCCAAGACAAATAAAACCTGTCAGAGTAAACAGAGTTGCTCTTCATTCCAGATTTGCTAGAATACTTGTTCAACCAACCCAAAAAGCTAAGTAAAGTCTTCAGAGATGCCACAACCATCTTGTTTAAAACTAGTTCTCTTTTCCATGTTAGTCTCTATTTCTTTTTTTAAATATGGATTTAATCACTTAAACGTGGCACATTTGTTTACTGAGAAACGCATTAGCATTATGCAATTTTACTACCTGCATATTTTCCAAATGCCCTAGTGCACTAGGGCACGTGCGTTTTACCACATTGTTAAATTAACTTATTTCTTTGTTGGCACTGTATTATAAAATTATATTAGAGTCTGATACAAAAAAAAATTCCCATACCTCTCTCCTAGGCAGAAATAAGATATTATGGCTAAAGCTCTGAACACTGGAGTTCACTTAGTTCTAGAAATAAAAAGTAAAATGAAAAATGATACACTCCAACTGGAACACCCCAAACCCTAACACCACTGCTGTCAATGTCACAGTCACCCCATCATGCTTTCTTGAAGTAAAATCTTAATATTGGCTACTCTGACAATGTGACATTTTCATTAGTTCTATTATTTTTGAACAGTATCTCAGCACAACAAGAAATACTCTGAAAGGCGGTCTATGCCTGTTGGCTCATGACTGTGGGAGGACAGCACCATTTTGATTATGTCACTGAATTTAGTCATGAAGTGTGTGTCCTTACTACACACAAAGACACAATTTTATCCTCTGTATTTTGTTACGTGCCTTTGTGATATGAGCAAAAAGAGCTGTGTTCATAATATCAAAGAAGCACAATTGGGTCACCTTTGTCACAGACAAAAAAAAAAGCATAAGACTGGATTTAGAATGTGCCTAAAACAAATTCCACAGCCTAACAATAAAGATGGTGACTCCTGCTGTTTCAAGTCCACTGCCACTCAGAGGCATGGATTGCCCTGAAAGAGAAAGGGAATGCTGGCTTTTCAACAAAACTGAGGCCGACTTCAGTGGTCTTTATGGCAGAATCAAATAACAACATGGAGGAGGACTGACTGGACCAATTCAGCCCTCCTTGAAGCAAGATATAGCATTTTCCCTGCGAAGCACTGAAGGACATACCATTAAAACAACTGATTATTGCATAGAAAGAAGCCAGGGTCATTTGAGCCTTTATTAAGGATTATTCATTTCTTGCATGAGGAACCGCCCAGGCTATGGCTGCACGTCACTTATATGGGGTTCTTGGATTCTTCAAATGCTGTGTGTGTCTGATTAGAAGGGAAACAATATTGTTCTCGCTTGAGTAGAGAAACTGACCTTCACTGACCAGAATTTTTATTCATATGAAGAGTCCTTGAGCACACCGAATCTCCAAGCTCATATGATCCCTCATCAGCAAGCTGCAGTGTTCTTAGCTCATGTGCAAAATCAAAGTTTATATAAACTCAGGTACCGCCTTCACTATTAACAGATAATGTTGGAGCTTCTTCACAAGAATACAATGTAAATTTAATGCTGAGCTGACATTAACCAAACACTATTACCATCACTCTTGCTGAACCTGTGTTCCAGAAAGAGAGGCTCAGGGCTTCCGTTCCATCATTTATGCCATGTGAGATGTTAAGTGCTCCATTTCACATTCTTTACCATCTAAGTATAGCATTCCTATTTTTACACAATGACTAGAAACACATGTGCACGCACACACACACAAACACATCCCTCTCTTGGGAACAAAACCCATTATTTTAGATTACTGAAAGTTTATGTAATGACGTGAGGTCGCTCTTAGGGGACTCATCTGGGTCACTGGGCTCTACCTAATCCAGGGAAACAGGGACAAATGATGCCTCCCCAGTGGTCTTATAAGCTTTTGGTCAGTCAACTGTGTCCAAACCTTCCTCTCTCCCAAACAAGTGAGAGCCTACCCTAGGATCTTGGGTCCAAGTGTGGAGCCAAGAGTGACAAGGACACGCAGCATATAGAGACACAATCAAAGCTGCAAATTGAGCAGATACTTTGAGGTGTCAATTCCAAGGGGCTAAGCAGGGTTAGAATGAGGTTACAGAACAGAAACAGAGGGTAGGGGGTGGAAGGCAACCTGGAGCGGGGCCCTCCCTCCCTGCGTGTGTGAGATCTCAGGTGCTTTTTCAGCACCTCAGCCACAGCAGTCAGGGTACCCGGCCAGGGGAACTGCCAAGGAGGTAGCACCAACTCAGACATGATATTACAAGGATCCCCAGCTCACCACCCACCTGTGGGTCCACTTGTACATGGCCTCATGCTCAGCTTCATTCTTTCTTTTTTTTTTTAATAACATAACATTATATTAGTTTCAGGTGTAAAACATAATGATTTGATATTTGCATACATTGCGAAATGATCACCATAGCCTCGCCTGGCTATGCATCTGGACTGCTGATTTGATCCCACATAACACATGAAACCCTGAGCAGACATACCCTGCATG